GGGGGGGGGCAGTCTGTTATGTTAGCCCAAAGCGTAACGCAGGTGTTCAGCTGGTCTTGTACGTGTTCTCCTTGCAGCTTCGTACTTCACTGGTGATGCTGCAACAGAATTTTGCAACAGCCAATCACACTGCAGCGCAGCAGTGACACAGCCACGCCTGGTGACTACAAAGCACCTGTCCCTGTGGGTAAAACGACACTGAAGCACTGAACTGTCTCAGAGGATACCTCTGCTATCCACAGATGTTGCCATGTGGGCATCCCCAGACACATGCCATGTTTTCTTCGTGGTTATGCATCCCGAAGCCTGTGGTGAGGTATCAGGTGCCAGGATGTTGTTTGTTTGTTTTCTAAGCTGCGGACTGACTGCTGGGAGGAGGATTATGTTTCACCAGAGCCTGGTTTAGATTTCTGCAGAGGACTACTCTCAGCTCCCGCAGCTTCCATAGTTATTTTAATGAGCCTTGTGCCACATGAACTGTTGTGAATACTTTAGTTTAGTTTTATTTTTGGGATGTGAGTCAATATTATTTAAGCTTTTTGCACACATTTACGTTTTTGCACGAGTCTTATGTGTAAGGCTGACTTGCGCTCCCCTCCCCTCTCCCCAATAAATCCCGCTAATCAGCGACTAAGACTTGAAGGATCATCTACACACTGGTCTTGAATCATTTTGTACATGTATACTTCGGTTTTTCTGGCCTGCTGATATTTCAATGATTACACTGGTTCTCTCCTGGACTTTAAATGAAGCAGACCAGAGCTGATCCTCATCACCTGTCCAGGTATAATCAGGGTTTTTGGGTACTTTTTTTTTTTTTTTTTTTTTTTCCTCTGCACTGATCCAAATTTAGAGAACTGTACGATTTTGTAGTTTAAAATGCTTTTGATGAGGTGATCTTTCAGCGAAGGTGTTGGCTCGGACTATCTCAGTACTGTGAACTCACTCTGTCAACACTAGAGGAAAGCTTGTTCTATGATTTCTTTATCAACCTTTTTTTTTTTTTTTTTTTTTTAAATTTTTTTTTTTTTAATTCTTAAGGTTTACACATGTCATTCTTGAATTTGAAGACCTTCCTGTACGTATAAATCAATTTGTTGAATTTGACTGTGTTTGGTCCTGATTGTTGTCGATGTCTTGTCATTGATCATTTTAATAAATATTACTTTTGCCAGAAGTTTTGACTTTTCCTGGAAACCTTTAAAATATAAACACTATTTATATTTAAACTCTTAATGACGATTTTTCTAAATAATGTCTCAGTGCAAATAATGAGCTTAATTTCCAAGTTTGCTGCTTTCTCTTGTTGTGCCAGTGGAACAAACAGTTTCACCAGTGATTGATTTGGAACCTGGTATAAGGCTGATCTGTGTTGGCACAGTGATATTTATCTTTGGAAGAATCTGACTTAACTAAGACAGAACTGCCATATAGACTTTTTTCTTTAAAAAAAACAAAAACAAAACACACACAGATTGTGTTGGAAGGAGCTGCATAGATGCTCTGCTGGGGGAAGAAAAAGATTAAATGGGACTAAAGCCAAATGTGTCTTCATTATTTTGTCACAGGTGAAACATAATATGATCGAGAGCATTTAATTATTGACCACAAGTCTGTCCTAATTCATCCTCAAAGGAAATTCTATTTCCTCTGTAGTATTCACTTACAGTAGTGATAGCGGGGACTAAACTGCAAGGAGACTCATTTATATTGCGTATGGCAGGATTGCTGTTATCCTTATATGAGCATTAATAGTTAATTTGTAGTATTAATTTATAGGAAAAAGAAATTACTACTTGAATGTTTCCATTTGGATATGATATGTACACAGATAGCTAATATTTCAGGCTCAGGTGGGTCATTCCTAGTATTTGTTGCAATTTGAGTCAATGTGAAGGAACTGAGATTAATGTTAAAACATCAGCTTATCTGATGAGGCACTGATGGGACTACTTCTTGAGATTTTGAGTCTACAAGACTGAGTCAATTTTCCTAAATCTTGCCTGTGACATATGCTCTCCATACAGTAATAATTAAAGACTAAAACTGGAACTTATAACAATTAAAACTAAACCTAAAAATTACACTATGGAAACTAAACTATATTAAAAGCAATCAGATGGCTATGTATCCAATATAATCACTTTCTTTTAGCACACGTGTGTTAAACTGCCATGTCCACAATCATCAATCATGCCTATATGCATGATATATGCCTATATGCATATATCATGCATATAAGTTATAAAAGTCCAAAAAATGTTGGCGTTCTCTCTTGCATAACCAAATGTGCAAGAGTAAGATAAGCTACTTATAATTAATTTATAACGGGACGAAGCTTCTCACAAAGACCATTAAACTGACTGCTTGTTTTGATGCAGTATTGGTACACAGCTTTTCCAGCACTTCACCTGAGCACAGCTGTGCATGCAGCAGTAGCAGCATCGTGTGGGAGTAGGCTGGGCGGGGAGAAGCCACTTCATGTGACGTCAGTACAGAAACAGTTCAGCCAGTTTGGAGAGGAAGAAGCAGGACTTCTCTGTGTACCGAAACCTGGACGTCCACGCAGAAGACACCCCCCGGCTCCTGCAGGAAGCACCAGCCGAGCCGGACACTCAAACCCAGCCTCCGCCCCCAGCAGTTGCCGCCGTTCCGGGGTCACTTCACGCGACTTGCATTTAGCGGCAGAAACACCGGATACGAGCTTCCGAGAAGAAGCACGGCGGGGGAAAATCGTTTCAGTCGATATTTCTAGAGGCTGGCATGTAGCAGCCCCGTGTGCAGGTATGTTTACCCGGGTTTGTCGGGTCGTGAAACCTGCTTTGACGCAGTGTGTCGCTCCGGTGAGACGGCGGCTTGTTGGCAGGTAAAAATAAGTGAACGTCGGTTAACTGTGAGCTGCAGTCTGTAATTATGTTACCGACAAGCTGCAGGATTCATTGGGTTAAATGCCAGGGAAAACGGTGAAGTCCTAATATTTACATTCAGTCAAGTTTAAAGTCACAGCGTCTCCAACAAAAACTGATTTTTACTGAATGTGTCAGCACAGAATCCTGTTACTGGGACAAAAGTTTATTATGCAAGGTATAGTTTAGAGCAGATGTGCTGCAGACAAAAATAACTGATGATGTTAATTAATTATTCATAAGCAGGCGTGCATTTAGTTATTCTAATGCCACCTTGGCTCCCCATCTACCCTAAGTAAAATTTCATTGAAAACATAAGTTGCAGCTAGCAGCAGTTTTGTGAAGTAACACTTGTCTCAATAGTTTTCTATGGAATGTTCATGTTTATAACACTCGATAGTCTCTATATATGCTGACTAAATGTGGGGTAAGGAGTTTGCAGTAAGGCTACAAATAACCTGAAAGCTAGTGTGTTTTTTGTGTAAAACTCTTGTTTACTTTTTTTATATGCCACTACAATTGTTGTAACTTTTGGTTATCTGTAATCGCAGCTGCTGTTCTGCGTGGTAATCATTTTTGGGTTTCTGTAGGGATGGTTCTGTGGATCAGCACATCTCTTTTACAGCCTTGTTTCTTGTGAGAAAGCAACATGTGGGACATTCCCTCAGTATGTAGGATTGGGAGGTGGGAGAAAGAATAATAAAGTGGGACATCTGGTCATCCTACCTATAAAGTATATATTAAGCTACAGCCAGCCGCTGTTAGGTCCTTTGCCTGGGAGGTTTAGCATGGTGTTTTGGTTGGTCAGTTGCCAGGTGTGTAGGTGTCTAAGAAGCTGACTTCCAAACGAGGTGTAGCTTCCTTGACCACTAGTGGTACATTCAGACCCGTTTTAGGAAGTATGAGAATATTGTTGCTCTGAAAAAAAAAAAACCCAAAGGTGGTCTTCTACCAATAGGAAGCCATGGGAACATGCGTTGGTCTGGATACATCCATGGGAGCTTAACTATGTAAATGTTAGGCATAGATAAAAGTGCTGTGATTGTGTGTGATTGGGATAATGAGACGTGTAGTATCTTAACTTGAGTAGAAAGGTCCTATATAAGTACCAGTCCATTTACTATTTGAGTCTTTGCACATGTACAAAGACTGATGTTGTAAATCCTGCTTTCTGCCGAGCACTGAGTGGAGGTGGGGCCACTTTAAGTACTTTTTATGTCTTTACAAGCTTCAGGAATTTAACTGTGCAGCTATGCCTTTTAATGTACAGTCATTTGGACAGTGACAAAATCTTCCTAATTTTGCTGCTTTACACCAGTTAAATGTATTTGTAATGAAATGGACAAAATGTAATTAAAGTGTGGACTTTCAGAAAGGGTTTAGAATAAAAGTCTGCACTAAAACTGAGGATTTGCAGCCTTTTTTATGTAGTCCCTCCATTTTCATGAGCTTAAAAGTAAACAAACTAATGTTCCAAATGTTGGGATTATTTTAATAATTAGATGCAAATCCCGTTTAGTCGATGACTCCCTAAACCCACGGAGCTCAACATGATCTGAATTTCCACCCTTATCCATCTGTACTCAGTGTTTTACAGTCATTTTTTAACATTTGACTGAAATTGTGCAGAAAGAAGCTCAGTAGCTTAGGAATTCAATCTGCTGCTGTTAGGCAAATGTGTAAACCACTACCCTATTAGCTGCTGTTGGCATGCTTTTGGTACAAAATACTGATAGCGTAACAGTTGATATTACTACGTGATATTATCAATTTGCAGCTCTCTCCGTATCAACATTTATAACAGCTGATAAATGAAAAAAGTAAAGAAGAAATGGGAGAAACACCATTCAGGCACGCTATCACTGTTGATGTTGCATAGTTTGTCCACTAGAGGGCACTGCTGATAACAAGGTAACAAAACTGGTAAGAAAGCAGTAACAAACCCTGATCCAAGCATAGTGTGAACGAGTAAATACACATAAAAGTACACATAACAAGTGTTAGGTACATTGGTTTATGTTTTGTGTGTATGTGAAAAAAAACAATATATCAGATACTGGAGTATATCGGTTGGAGTGATTGTATATCAGTCTATCTCCATTTCTTTGTCAGCAACAGGCATTGAGACACTGAGACATTGTTGGAGGTTTCCTTGTCACACTTCTTTGGCTCTGGTATATAGTCAAATGGGAATGTTATTTTATGCTGTTTATTTTCCCATTCAAATTGAGAGGTTGGCCTAGGATGAGAATGAGCCTCGATTGTGTCAGACAAATATGGTGTTTACAGCAAAAATATATAAAATAAGTAAAGCAAGCATCCTCGACAGTTGTAATCTGGAACTATTAACTATGAAATATGTTGCTGATTTGCTTTCAGCTAATAATCAGAGTTGTAAAAGTGATGTCTTCCATCCTAAATGACAGCAATTCCTAGATATTGAAGCAAAATGATGTGCTTTGCCCTGCAAAGCTTTTTGGCCAAAGCATTAAACACCACAGCTGTAAAATTGCTGAGTGCAACAGTCACACTGTAAGCCCTTGCAGCAGTATTTTTCTTTATTTGTCAGGGAGCAGATGTGCTGTTTGGTGCTAGCACGCACCCATTAATCAGTACATGTAACCCAATCTGTCCTCTCTTTAGGCTCTTACAGATCCAAGGGTGCCTGGAAGGACCCTAATTAGATGCTGGTAACCTTTTCTGACCCAAAATGTCCTTTTTAACACGTTAGCATGATTACTGGCTGAGCTTTAATAATAACACACAATTTCATTCTGTGATTTATTGCTAATCAGAGGCTCATTCATATTCCTCCCAAAGATAGAGGTTTAACTCAGCTGAAGGATTAACCCCACTTTGTCATGCCATGATTGAGAGGCCACCTAAGACCTGCCATTGCTATAACTGCTGACACCACCTCAACCCAAATCCATATCCATCTGTGCCACATAAACAAGCCAGTGTGCGGGGGTGGGGGGACTGATCATTTGCTGTAAATTATTAAAGGGTGACAGATGTGTGACAGATGTGAGGACAGGAAGTGAAGTGAAAGTGCTGTGGAAATCTGTTCAGAAGCACTCCACCATCTAAAATGCATGCAAGTGTCTGGTAAGCTGCTGCATGAAAAGGTCAGTTCAGCAAAGTGGGTTTTTAAAGGTATTTTCACTTAATATGTTTCCCTTCCCTTTGATCATCTGCAACTTTTCACTTTCCTTGTACTCATTACCTTTTTTAAAACCTCTGACAGGCTGCAGGGCTCTCTGTAATGAAGAGGCAAGCCAAGAAGGTGCTGGAGGAGGAGGCGGCCTTGTGCTGCTGCGAATACATGAACAGACACGGACAGCGCAGCCATGTAGCAGCCTGCTGCTGTGACTGTGAGGACCTGGATGATGCCTGTGACAGGTGGGAAATGCAAGATTTAATTTTAGCCAAGATAGACAACTTGTTTTTGGTGTATTTCGACGAAAATCCATAATAGTCTTTAGGTGAATTGTAATTCGATTGATCTGAACTAGACTCCTGTCCCTCCTCTGAGCTGTTTTTGGCCAATCACAGGTCCTGCTAAAGATAATCAGTTTTTAGGAGAGAATGAAAAAAGTTAGTCGGCTAAGGATTAAAGTCCATGTTTCTTTAATGTTTTTTTTTAGATTTTATAAATTTAGTAACAATTTAACATCACAGTTGAAATGTTACTGGTTCAGACTTTAGGAGATTTTCACAAAACTACATAACTACAACAAACACACAGACTGTAGTTAAATCAAGACAAAAAAACTTTGTTTATAAATAAAAAGGAGCAACCTTTAAAGACCTGTCATACCAGCAGAAATAATATACAGTAAACAGAAAACAAAACACAAATCAGACAATTTGGTCAAATTCCTGGACTCTTTGGACAAAATCCAAAGAGAATCACATCATTTTCATACCAAAGCTTCTAATATAGCAGTGCTGGGATCAGTGACTCTATGTGAAAGATCCTTGGTTTGACACTGGGAGGAGACATTAACCCAGTGTCATGGGGTCACATGTACACGTGTACTCTCAGTGCCCAGTCCAAAACCCGGATAAATGGAAGGGCTGTGTCACGAAGGCCATCTGGTTTAAACACTGTGCCAAATCATTTACAATCACATAGCAGAACAGCTGAAAGTGCTCGTAATTCTCTGCTGCTGCTTGCATTATATGTGCAAAGGGCACAAACTGTCATGCTTGTTCTTACAGAGACGCTTTAACAGAATTATAACCCAGAAAGTAAATTTAAAAATGTAACTACTGTCTTAGTTCTGTCTATCTAAAACAAAAGATATCAGATAATTTTATTTCTACCCCATCAGTGATGGGAATAACGGCGTTACAAATAACGGCGTTGCTTTTGTCAGTAACGAGTAATCTAACTAATCACTATAACTATCGTTACAACGCCGTTACCATTACTAACAAGGAAAACTATTTTTCAACAAACAGACTGATTGATCTGACTGATCTTCAGCTGATTGCACCTTATATCAGTTGCATGGAAGCAGCTGTCTATGTAAGTAATAAGGGCCCCCCAAGATCTGGGCGCTACAGCTTTAAGCAGCTACGCGCGCTCCCGCGGACGGCAATCACTTTCTGCCTGACGATCACTTTTTGGCACAACACCTGGAGCTAAGGGAGCAAAACAATCGCATGAGTGCTGCTGTTTGACTGAGGAAGAATGAAGTAGTCACGGTAAGCCAATCACATGACCACTTTAAGATGTCAAAGCAACAAGGTGATAGATACCAGTTTTTAAATTGTGTTGATAGGCCATGTATAACCAGAGTCATGATAAACGAAATATTGTGTTTGTTCCTGAATAGTTTCGTCACGTTTAGGACAGAGCTAGCAAGCACTCTCTGCTTATGAGCAAAAAACAACAACAACAACAAAAAAACCAGCCCTTTCGTGTTGGTGGAAAAATGCACCATGTCGACCAATCAAAAAATGATATGGCAACATGACATGTGGTTGTTTAGGAAGAGGGGGAAGTTTTAGGAGTGATGGCGAGAGAGAGAGACAGCAGAAAAAGAGAGAGAGCGAGTTTTGAGATGTGAGAGATTTGTGACGTTTAGCGTGTTTGGGGTGTGTAGTTACTGTGTTGTCTTGTGTAGTTAGTGTGTAGTGTTGTGGATAGTTTTGTGTTGTGTGTCAGAACAATGAGGCGACTGCTGTCTCCAGGTAGAGAATAGGAGTGATACACCTGCTGCTGTCAGACCTGCAGGTATCAGGCTGTGATGTTCTCCTTTATAGTGGACAGCAATATTTGGAGTGGCACAAATAATTTGTGCGGCATCTTATTGAATGCAGAACAGCTGATTGTTATGTAAATAGTTTGAAATTGTTATAAAAAAGGGGTAAAATGTAAATGGCTGCAAAACCTGTGCGTATGATTTTAAAATTGACAAT